CTTTTTTTATTTTTTATTTTGAGATAGTTATCACTAAGTTGCTGAGGCTGGCTTTGAACTTACAGTCCTCCTGCCTCAGCTTCCCGAGTCACCCAGATTACAGRTATRCGCCACCACACACAGCGATGGAAGGAAATTTTTAATCACAAAATTTCTAAGCACAGGAACCTACTCTCAAATCCTGAGAAATTTACCAGTTATTTTATTCCTAAGATAATGCCTTCTCAGTTTCCTAGTCTTTTTTATGGGTTGAAGATAGATGCTCATGCTTTCTCATTAAATACAACTCCTTAAAACTGGCAGCTTGTGTTGTAAAATGTATAGTGTTTATAGTGTGTGCACTATAGGGTGTATATAGTGTAAAAGCAGATTCTTGGTATAAAATCTTTCCTTGCTTCCAACTTTTAGAGACAGATTCCCCAGATATYAAAATCATAGAATTTTTAGCAAAATAAACATTTCAGACCTCAAGAGTTTTCTAAAGTAATAGATTTCATTTTAGAAGGCTCTTRCAGCCCCAAACAGAAGTGGTTATGTCCCTGGGGCAAATTAACTAAAATGAATTTTTATCTACATGCAAAAGTCTGTCTTCAACTTCAGCATGGTAATAATATTTCCTTACARAGGATTCAAAGCATCTTCCAAATGCCCTGCTTTCTTCTTCCTGGGTCATTCTTGTGAAATGAAACTGAGGCTCTGAATGAGAACAGTCATTTAGAGTCACACTTCTGGACTTCTYCTGCTGAATTGTTCATCTTGCACTGACCTCTAAAGCTTTCGAAAGCCTCCACAATCACTAGCAGAATAAAGTCCAGATTCCTTTGCAGGAAGCACATGATCTGATCATGAGCTACTATTTCTCCAACTTCAYGTTACACTTTGTCCCCTAAGCCTGGCTGTTTCTTGTTCTCTTTTGCCCACSCTCTTCTCCTGCTCTGGATTATCCTTTTTCACCTTTTCTGTTTTGCTGGGGTTTCTTTCCCCTCGCTCCCAAGCCAGTGCAGTACCTGGTGTACTGAAGATGAAACTAAAGAACAAATAAACCAAAGAATTAGTAGCTGTTAAACAGTTGCACACAGGGGTWTGGTGATGAAAATGATAAATCTTTGATGCTCTCAATTTTTTTTTATTTTGAGAAACTGGGAAGTGTTAAGTATTGCAAAATATGAAGACGAGACATAGAGAGGATGTGCTGACTCTGAATTCACAGAAGGCCCTAAATTTGCATTGACTCAGCACTTTGAAGTCCTAATTTTTGGTAGATTCCACAGAGCTTTCTGTTTTCCTCTAGCTTTTTTTTTTTTTTTTTGCCTTTATTTTTGGCACTGGAGATTGAACCTAGGGGTGTTCTACCATTGAACCACATCCCCAGCCTCCCTTTCTTTATATTTATTTTTTATTTTGAGACAGGACCTCACTAACTTACTGGGGCTGACTTTGAACTTGCAATCCTCCTGCCTCAGCCTCCTGAGCACCTGGGATCACAGGTGTACCACCACCATGCCCAGCTCTATTTTACCCTCTAAATTTAATCACCACCTTTTGTACAGATAGTGGTGTGGAGGGAGGGCAGGAGCCTGGGCCCTTGGCCTTATAAGGCTTGGCCTGAAAGTCTGAAGTAGGCTGAATGTCTTTGATTTGGAAACTGTCAGGAGAAAGGGCTGCACTTATACCCAGTTATGCAACAGACATCTGTTTTTAACAGGTAGCAGTTTGAATTTTTGTAGCTTATTTTTGCATATAAATTGTTAAATTTTCCTTACAGCTGTTACCTTGAGAATAATATTTTTAGGGAAGATGGATTTTTATTTAGTTAGTAAGTACTCAAAAAAGGACCCATTTTGGACTATCCTGTCAGCTATTTTGACCAGCTTTCAACAGCCAATTTAAGTGGGAACATCGACAAACATTGGGGGGTCAAGCTGCAAATTAAAATTCTGCTACATGTAACTGAAAAAGTATCACTAAGGTGTGACTGTGCATTTCTGTTGTAATTTAGCTACTATCATATTTGAAGGTCTGAGATTACCAGAAGCCAATAGAACTGGTTTGCTTGTAGCAATGTTGTTATTAATATCTTAACACCACGTATTGATTCTACTAGAATTGTCTTAGTATTATAGAACCATTTTTTTTCTTCTGTAGTTTCCTTAACAATGTTCTCTTTTTAAAAAGTGATTGCCTGTGCTTCACTAATTTCTATAACCAAACTGGAGTGGAATCCAAAAGAAAAGGTAACATTTAAGTTTTCTCAAGATGATGTTGATCCTGTTTATGAGAGACTGTGACTGGACGAATCCTAGGAAGGATCACTGTCATTTCTTAGAACAGGTTGCAAAATGTGGGGTACATGTGTCATGTCATCAACTTACTGCTCAATGACTCGACAATGCATGTGTTGTAAATAGCTTCAAAAGACAAAATCACAACAAATTTAGTTATACGTCTAATTGGCTTTTATTTGAAATTCCTGAACCTGAGGCAGGGTCCATTCTACAAAATAGAATGAAAGCTCCACCAAGCAGTGGCACAGTAGGTTTTGTAAAGTGGGAACAAGGAAACAGAACAATGGGGAGAATTTGATTGGCTCACATGGGGCTACGTCACATTATCTTTATTTTGTAAGCAGAAGAGACTTCTTYATCACACAGGCTCAGGTAAATGGAAATCTCCTGTCTTCAGGAAAAAAAAAATAATTCTCAGTTTTGTGCTCTATCTAGTCTCTTGAAGTTTCAGCTGGATTATGTGGCACTTAGCATAGGTGACTCCATTTTGGTTTGGTTTGATCTGTTGGAGGCCTAGTGTAGGAGCTTAGGTCTCCCATAACATTAACATTAGTTATTGGGATAATCCCAAATGGTTCCTGAAATTATTTTCAAAATTTAGAATTCCTTATTTCTTTCTTACACACTTCAACTTTTAGGGCTTAGTAAGAGATTGGACCTTAAAGGATAGGGGACAATGTGAGTGAAGGTTTATAGAGGTCGGATAAAGTGCAGAATGTTAATCAGAGAGGGCAAGACAAGATTCAGTGTAGTGGACAGTTCACTTCAGGACACAGTGACAATTAATATAATCAGGGGTGACTTTGCAAGGAAGCGCAGTGGCTTCTGGAGGCTGACAGAGAGGTTCAACTTGGCCAGACTAAGCTTTTGAAGACTTCTGATCAGGAAAGGAAATTGAGTGAGTATTATTGGACAAATATTAGGTAGAAGCAACAGCTGGGGTGGATTTAAGAGAGAGTTTGGCATTAGCAGGACCAGAAGCAGAGAGTTCTACTMGTTGAGATTCAAATCAAGATGAACCTCAGTTGGAAATGATAGGATCAAAATATGGGATGAGCACTTGCACATGGCTGACTTGAGAAGGAAGGGAAATGATGACGCAAAAATGATTTCCAAGTCTTTATTTTGGATGAACCAAATAATTTATTTCCATGACCACAGAGATACCGTCTTTATTGGGGACAAATAATTTCACAGGCAGAAGTGGATGTGTTTGGTTTTGCAGCCACTGGCATCTGAGGCTACAGGGAAAAATCAAGGCTGAATGTCCAGTTAAAAATGTGAAGCTAGATCTCTGGTAGGGCCAAGAGCCCTCATGGCATAGAATAGAGTGACCAATAATTTCCAAACCAATTATCAGAAACACCTGGACCCAAGTATGTGAAACGGAGATCACCCCATGCCATGAAACTCTTATGATAGTGCTTCATCCAGATGTGGTACAGGAGACTGAATGAAAGATGTCCCAGGAGAGAAGGGATTTAGTGAGAGAACAGCAATAGATTGTTTTCCAAAGGGCAGGTGAAGGACTGTACCCAGAAAAAAAAAAAAGAAGTAAAAAGAAGAGTCATGAATCAAGAAGAATCAGAACTGGGCAGTATGGCTGACTTCACTGACCAAGTCCCTATTGCAAGCAAGATTGTGCTGAGGGATGCTGGGGGGATGGTCAGCTATAGGGTGGCAGGTCCCCCAAGGAAGCCTGTAGTTTAGTGGGGGCAAACAACCAGTTGTCCACTGCCAAATGTGGTTCTTTGAAACATGAATTCTCACTCTGAAATGAGAAGAAGATATATTACCCTAGAGAGCAAGAGGAGGGCATTTTTCAAGAGAAAGGGAAATGATTATTCATGGCAGATGGGTCTGAACAAACAGCCTTTAGGAATGGAACGAGGTCCCTGAATTTGGGCAACGAAGGGTGGTTCACTCATTCAGCTATCCACATATGTTTGCTGGGGGAAAATGCGGGGTTGGCTAGAGGGGATAGCAGGGTCAGAGGAAGGGCTCCCCAAGACAGAGGATACTAGCTCTCCACGGAGGTTGCTGAGACACGGGAAGGACTGAAGATGRTGGTAAGGAAGAGAATAATCCAGACAAGAATTCAAAAAACACTTCCTTTGGATATGACAGGAAGATGTCCAGATTATCCAAGAGGTTAGACCTAGAAAAAGGCAACTTTTTTTTTTTTTTTCTGCACGGGGGGTGGTGGGGTGGGAAATAAGTTCCTATCCAAAGGGGCTTAGGGTCCTCTTTCCACTGGGGGACTCCTGACAAGAAACCAAACAGCAGAGCAGGCCCAGGTGGACTTTACTATTAGGCCACTGGGGGGCGACCTTCCACCACAAGTCAAGGGCTCCACAAAGCATATCCCCAGGTCTCTGAAAAATCTGTCAGCCTTCCATTTTCTATCTAAAAGTGTGAAAAGTACCTGATTTTCTATTCCGTCTATAAATTTCTGTGCCACTTTGGTGTTTCCTTCTGTTTCCAGTATCAGTGGCTGCAAAATCAGAAAACAAACAACAACATAAMCCTCTTTACATTAATTACCTGAAAAGAATAATCATTTTAGGCCCTGCCCCAGATTTCTGTATAGTATTTTAGAGCTTTCACTGCATACCTATGTGCATGGGCTTACTCGGTAGGGAGGGTGAGAAATATGTCCTTGTTTCATCCCACCAAGTTCAGAGCTTGGCCTGTGTTCACACATGGAGTGAAGCCACTCCACGGAACTTGAATTAATATGATGCTGAAGACATCCCACATACCCTCGGCCATTGTGTCTCTGTTTGTTTTTTTCTTTTCAAAGTCAAGATTTTAATGTTTTCCTTCACGTCAATGTCCTCTCCCACCCCTTTTTTACGCCTCCTTTTAATAAGCCATCTTCATTGTYCAGGGATGATATGGGATGGGACATGTCCCCTGTTGCTGGCACCAAAAAGAGGAAGCCTCTGTTCTCCATCCTAATGCAGGCTGGCCAGGTTCTCCCCAGCGTGCCCTGGAATGAGAACAATGGATGGATATGTCCCTGGAGACAGCCAAAAGTGAKAAATCTGTTAAATCTTTATGGGATGAAAACAGGGTCCAGGAAAAGAGCTGTCGCCATGGAACTGACTAGCAACCCAGCACACGTTTTTACTCACACATGTAACCTATAGCAGAGCAGAAAGCSAAGTAGGAAAAACAATTAACCTTATTTGAAATCAGAGGGGGTAAACTAAGAGTCTGCAGGCCTAGTTTGGCATGTGAGCTAAAGTTAAAATGCAGACATGCGTTTTTTCCTTACTTAGATGGAATTTTAAAATGCTTTGAAATGAGTTTCCAGCATAAGAAAAAAAAAAAACAACCAGGAGATCACATACACATGTGCACATACATACACATACACATGTGCACATACACATGCATGCACACAAATAGGCTTTTTTTTTTTTTTAACTTCTTTCAAAGAAGCGCTGGGGTATTATTTTCCCATTTTGTGAATGTGGAATTGAGTTGATGAGGTATGGGCCCCTCTTTCTCTCTTTCACCTAACAACCATCAGTTTCATTTATTTTTATTAATTTCCTGGCCTCCATAAGCAACTGAGCTTGGAAACCCCCATGAAAGCCACTTTGATTCTTGGCTCCCGTTCTTCTTGCCTTGGAGAAGATATGCAGGTGTCCTGGGGAAGTCTCATTACTAGCATTTGCTTTGCAGCTTTATTTACCTTTTGACATAAGCAGAACTGACTGCTGAATGAGCGATTTCTCCAGTTACAGGGAAACTTAAAACCCAGTGGGGGCTTTATGTTTTGTCTTGTCTAGATGCACACAGTCATTCTTTGGAATAACCGCAGGAGCGCAGACTAGATGCTTGTTAAACGTGCCCTTCAGCTACGGGATTCCCAACTGCGGGAGACCAAGGCATGCCTTAAATGGAAAGTTCTTTYTTCTGTTGAGTCTAAATTTCCTTCCCAATCTTAACTGTTTTGTGGTCCATATTTTGCCTTTTGAAGTTATGCAGACTGTCTTAAAACCGGAGTGTGTGAGAGCAGGAGAGAATATTCAGGATCATTCCATTCCTGTTCTTATTGGGCCAGTCCCTAAAGTTTATCTATTGTGGTCTTGCTTACATTGTTTCCTCAAGGTTCTGGTTTAGGCTTTCTGGACAGCTTCTCRCACCTCTGGTCTGTCTCATTATTATTTCAGGTTGTATGCTAAGTGGGTATTTTTTTAGGCTAAATTCTCTTTCTTTATTATTGCTATTAGGATTATGTGTACCATGTAGTGAGCGCAATCTGTGAATGGACCGTGGCCTTTGGTTTTATTTTCTACTTCCTAACATTCATCCARGATTTTCAGGTAGGTATTTATCAGTTCAGATGTTACAAATTGCTGACAATTGGGGATTAGTAAAAAAATTTAGAAAAAAATTATTGAATTTAAAAAGAAGAGTTTGTTTTTATTCTTGCTGTGTTTGAAAAATACATATTGTGCAACTTAGTTTACTTATTCCCAAAGGGAAACATTTTTTTCTATATTTAATATGTATAATAATTATGCATAATTAATAAATATAATAATTAATACACATATTTTACTATTATACATAATGGCGAGATTTGCTGTTACACATTTGTACATGCACATATATAACAATGTAAGTGGGTCAATATTGTTCCCCAGTATTTTCCCTTTCCCTTCCCTCCTCCTTCCCTGATCCCTTTCCTCTACTTTACTGGTCTCCTTTCAATTTTCTCAAGATTCCCCCTAGTACCTTTCTTTTCCTTTTCTCTCTCTCTAGCTTCCACATAATAGAAAACACATATGATCCTTGACTTGAATTTGACTCAGTTTACTTAACATAATGTTCTCAAGTTTATCCATTTTCCTGCAACTATGTACTTTAATTCTTCTTTATGGCTAAATAAAACTCCATTGTGTATACATACAACCTTTTTATTCATCCATCGATGGACACCTAGGCTGGTTCTATAGTTTGGTTATTGTGAATTGTGCTGCTAATAAACATAGGTATACAGGAATCCCTATAGCATGCTGACTTTTAATTCTTGAGGATAAATAACAGGGAGTGGTATATTTGGGTCATATGGTGGTTCCCTGCTTAGTCTTTTGTAGCGCCTCCATACTGATTTCCATAGTAGTTGTACTAATTTACAATCCCACCAACAGTGTGAAAGGGTTCCTTTTACTCCACATCCTCTCCAGCAATTATTATTGTTTGATGGCTGCCATTTGGACTAGTGTGAGGTAAAATCTCAGTGGAGTTTTGATTTGCATTTCCCTAATTGCTAATGATGTTGAACAYTTTTTCATATATTTGTTGGTCATTTGTATTTGTTCTTTTGAGAAGTGTCTGTTTAGCTCATTTGCCTATTTATTTACTAATGGGGKTTTTACTGGAGTTAAGTTTTTTGAATTATTTATATATTCTGGATATTAGTCATCTATCAGAAGAGTAGCTAGAATTTTTTTTTCTACCATTCTGTAAGTTCTCTCTCCAAAGAGAAGCATCCCTATAGCTCACTCAATGAATGAAATTTTCCTATGCCTTCTGCCACTTGAGATGCTACGAGTCATGTACCCTGATTGTTTTAGAGGATTCACTCRTTCCAAAAACCAGAAAATATGTCTTTTTGAAAAGGAAAAGTGTGTTGTTCAAAAATGTTCTCAAGGCAGAGAGAAGGTTGGGACCTTAGCAGACTTGGCTGTAGTGAAAGTCTTACATTTTGAAACAAGTGAATTATTAGTTAAAAGAATACAGAAAGCCAAGAAAAATTCTATAATGCCCAAATCAAACATAGCACAAACCATAGTGAGGCATCACTCAGGTGGGGTAACGCTGCTGGAAGTTTCATAGTTAGCCCTGGAATTGTTSAATTTCTTTGAAATCTTTTTTCTTTTATTCTTTTTCTTTTTCTTCTTCTTCTTTTTAATAGAGTGTTACTTTAAGGATATCCACAGAAATCGATGGTGATATTTGAAGAAAAGAGGATTTTGTCTCAGTGAATGTCACAGATGGTTTCTAGAAGTGGCACAGAGATGGACAGGTTTTGATGCYGCCCCGATTGGGATGCATTTGCGGTACATCCAGGACTTGAATTTCACCAAGATTCCTATAGTTGTACTATTTACAAAGGTATGTTTTCCTAGAGAATGTAGAGCATTTATAACATTGTAGCAATATTTTTATACTTTTCTAAGTAGACACTTTTTTATATAAACTCTTATACAGAAAAGATAAGGTGTTACAGAAAATGGAGAGCTCCTATTTTGTACATATTCTGTTGCTTGTTGTCTTTGTGTGCAAGTGTTCTAKAGAAATACACTAAATGAGGRATTGAAGTYTAGTACATTTATTAAAAAGCAAAATCGTGGATATTCATTTTAAAATTTCATTTTTAGAGAATTAACTGTATACATCTATTATCTCAGGAGCATTTATAAAATTCAACTGAAAATAATGATCATATGCCCAAATTTCAAATATTCAGTTAATAAATTAACACTAAGATACTCTGGGTTTTAGATGAAATATGAAAAATTCTTCTATGAGGAGGCCTTACTACTACTATTCACTGTGGCATTAGCGGAATACAGAAGCGCCCTGGGTTTTGAAATTCTGCCTTTTCAGTTTCTCCCTGTCCACAAGGCTGCAGCTGTCCCCTGCTGCTGATTGGCAGTCACTAGTAGTGGGAATTCCCATGGGATGGGTTCAGCGAGGCAGATTAGAAATTGTACAACTCTCCTTTACTRTAACGGTGTAACCTTAATAACAGTCTGATTTAGAAGCTGAAACTCACATCTTTCAAATTCATTTATGCCTGTAAACACCAAAGAGAATTCAGRTCCAAGAGAGAGACAGGGAGAAAGGAAGAGGGGTCAGTTGAAAGATCTGGGCATTGGAGGTGCTGTTTATTTTCTCCTCCTTTTMATGTATGTGCTCAGATGTTCCACAACACTATAGAAAATATAAGTCAGGCCCTTGGGGTTAAGCAGGACCTATAGACTCTGCCTTTTTACCCAAATCACCAATGGCAACTGAAAAGCAAGTCCTTCTAGAGAAAGAAGCAGCTCTTGGAATGTTGACAAGAAGGTATTCCCTCTTTCAAAGACCCTCAGACTACAACCTTGGGTATGGCCAAATGGGAGCAGACCTTGAGGGTTCATAACAAGGCTTAGTAGCCCATCTGGACAGCCCTGGAGAGGGCATCTGGGGAGTGGGGAGCCCATTGCGGCTCCCTATTAACTCTGCTAAGCAGTCTGCCACCTCTGCTATGACCACCTGCCACTCCCCCAAGTGCTCTGTGATGGGAAGCTGATAACCACTTCTGGGTCCACTTAACTTGTTGTAATGCTATGGATCCTTATTGTAACACTGGAACTAAAGAGTGACATTGGTTYTGAAGAGGAAAAGGAGCCCACATGCTTCTTCCGTGGACCCTATGGTAGAGTGRACCCATGGAGTGTCTCTCTGGGAAGCAGACTCTTGTTATCAGCACTTCTCAAAGATGTACTGTCATTCTACATCTCCGTCTCTTTGCACAATTAGATTGAGCCCTCCTTGAGGGCAGAGAATGTACTTTAATCTTTACCTTTGCAACCCCAGCATTCAACACAGTACCTCCTGGAACACCGTAGGTGCTTCTTAAACAGTTATTACTGAATGTGCATGCATGAATGACTGAATGAGCAAATGAAGGAATGACTCAGGGTATTTGAGGTGCTGCATAATGGGATTTATTGATTYAAGTTTACTAGTTACTTTAATGTAAACCAATTGTATCACCCCGTTGATGTTGACTGTTTTGCTTTGTGTACTGTCAACATTTCAGTTGTTTGGGCTCCATGATTCTATGACAACTCTCTTCTGGACAGTTACCACAGAAATTGTTACATGGGCTAGACCAAATGCTACACCTGTCTGGGCAAACTGAGAAGGCCCAAAATCACTACAGATAATCACATTCTGCTGATTCCGTGCAACCTCWAAAGCTGGTTTTATTCATATTTTGGTATTATGTTTTAACTTTTATGAACTCACCTTTCCTTGTCCCTCATGACTTAAAAAGAAAATAAAATGAAATATTTCTTTATTTTAGTAATTTGTGTCACTGTTTAATTATAAAATGTCACCTGGTACTACTATGATGCATATTTATCTGGGAGATGATTCCACACCCTCTTGGACTTCACAAAGGTATGGCTTAAACCTTGTGTTTTCTTAATTCGTGTAGCTTTGCATGTAGTCACTGTTGGCTTATCTTTGTAGAGATTCTCAAACARTCTCAGGAGATCATATCAGTCAAGACTCTTAGAGCTGAAGACATGAGAAATCTAGCCTTGTGAAGGAAAAATGGGTATCTACTAACCTGGGAAGCTGGGAAGGAAGTTCAAGAGTGCAGCTGGCGTCAGGGATAGGGGGATCAAGAAGTGTTCCCAGGATTCCATCTCCTCCCTCCTCTCATCAGTGCTTTCCTCTCTATGGACAGGGTTTTTAGGTAGCTCCCCTTCTCCCTGGGAGGGAGAAGGCTTCTAGAACCTTGGGGCCTCCAACCTATCCAGTAGAAACCAAGGAATTCCAAGTGGTTCCAACAACAACAACAACAACAAAAACAAAAACAAAAACAAAAAACAGAATTGAGACTCATTGTTCCTGATTGGCTGGCTTGAGTCACATGCCCAGGGGAGAGTGTTATTCTGATTGGTCAGAACTAAGTCACATGTCCTCTGAAGAGGGCTGATTGGTCAGTGAAAATGGTTTCTCAGGTGTGGGAAAAGGACCTTGGAAATACAAAAAGCAGCATATTTCACTGAGGAATCTAGGTCTCCCTGGACCCCCACAACCCATCCTAACTTGCTTTAGTAAATCAAAGTATACATGCTAATAACGTTTTCAGAACCAAAAAGAAAAAAATAAGTAAATAAGCAATTGAGGTAATACAGATGCCTTCTGTTAATTTCTAAGTCATGYTTATATTCTTCAAGGCTCCTGTGTTCTTACTTAACCTCTGTGAGGTGGAACAGGCAGTTAATTATCACATTTTTCAGATGAGGAGACTATCACAAAGAGAGGTTCAGTGACCTGCAAGTGCTTCTATAGCCAGATGGCAACAGCTTCAGTTTGGAAGTCTGTTTTCCTGATTCCTCATCAAGTCCCCCAGTGACCCCCCCACCCCACCCCACCCCACCCCCCTCGCCTTTATTTAACACTAACACAGAGGATTCCACAGAAATTGCAAATTGCATTTCATAAACCAAATTAAGTACATCAACGTTGTGCTGTGTTTGGGTTTCCTAACGTCTCTTACATGTGGCATTGTCCCATGTTCCCATTTTTTTTACTCAGCTGGAGACATACTGGTCTGGTGTTTGGGCCTGGAATGAGGAAAGGGGAGTGGGAGGAGATAAGTGGTCTCCCCTTCTCTCCCACTCCCTGAGTCTGGCAAGCCGGGAAGCCCAGCCGTCTCCCCACACACATACTCTTGGTCTGGCTCTGAATGCCCCGCATTCTCAAGTCCAGAATGTCATGCATCTGTGTCGTGTCTGTTGCACAAGAGAGCAACCACAGYCTCAAATCCTGGAGGAGAAGCTTCTGGCTCTGCTTGGTCACYCCCAGCAGATTCATTTTCTAAAATGAAGAGCGGCCGGATCCCTAACTCACATTGGGGGTGGCAGCGACCTCCAAAGTCGATGCCTGGAAAATGCTGAGGGAGATGGCAACTAATGTGCTGGGTGGTTGAAGCCAGGGTGCCATGAGGTGCCTGTCACAGAAAGCAGGGCTCTGTGGTGTACCATCCCCAAAGCCAGTTCCACCTCTTATTTTTCAGTTGTGTGAGTAGATAGCCTCTAATTCCAAAAAACCTGAGTTGGATGACTAAAGATTCTCCCAATATGAAAATACTATAACAGTCTCCATTGTTACAGTTTAGATATGAGGTGTCCCCAAAAAGCTCATGTGTGAGACCATGCAAGAATGTTCAGGGGTGAAGTGATTGGATTGTGAGAGGTGTAACCTAATGAGTGAATGAATATACTAAAATGGATTAACTGGGCAGTGACCCTAGGTGGGTAGGGTGTGGCTGAAGGAAGTAGGCCACTGGGGTAGGGATGCCTTTGAGGTTTAGATTTCTCTCCTACTGAATACAGCACTCTTTTTTTTTTTTTTT